GGTATGAATAATAGTATATTGAACATAATTATTTAATAACATTTCATTCATACGAGTTTGCTAAATAGTACATAAAATCAATTTATATCATATGTTTTAATTTATGTATAGTAATAATAATAATAATAATAATAATAATAATAATAATAATAAATATTATATTATACACAAATCGTATAATATATTAATATAATATATAGTGTAAATTTAATATATATTACAAAACAGTATAATAATAATAATAATAATAATAATAAACCATTGAATTCGAAAACGATAAAATTTTGATTTTCTAAACGAGGAAACAAACACTATAATAATATTCTACTAGAGCTGCTGCTGGTACACAACAAACATTCAGACTTATACGTCGTAAATAAAATATAGGAAACGAATTTCGAAATAAAATTTGAAATTTAAAAAGAAAAAACAGTAAACAATATTTACATACCTGCCTAATAACATTGGTAGAATATTATGGACCGACATTTAGTGCCCGAGCGGGGGAGAGCGGTAAAGTTTTAAAATATGTTGACTATAATAGGAGATATTTGTTGATGAATTTTTTAACTATTGGAGTTTGAGGACTACATTTCAAGTATAATATCAGAAATGTTAACAATACATGCCACCGTTATGCGTGGGCGAAACGGAATAACGACGATGGGAGTTCCGTGGTCATTCGGACCGTAATACTACGCATGTGGTACGTGTGTTTTGTATAATTTTTACACAAACTAGTTAAGTTCAGACGTTATGAATTGTAAGACTGCATTTTGAATTTTTTTTCTCGTCGGGTCTCGAGCCTCGCGAGCAACACAATACATAATTACAGCGGATAAGAGATAATCAGGGATAGTTTCTTTGGTGCTAAGGGGGTGAGGTGCAGGCTATCTCATTTCACGTCACAACCTGTTTTTTAAACCATTCTCCAGTAGCCGGGCGAATTCACTCAAATGTAATTTTCGCTTTTTATCTGGACTTGCCATCCCGGCGGAAAGCGGGATCAAAAAAAAAAAAAGTAATTGCCAGTGACAAAAAAAAAAAATTATTTTAATATACCCTTAGAAAGATGGACGAAGATGACGACGTTATTTTGTGATGCTGTTTTTTTACTGTTGTCCCCGAGTCTGCAGATTAATATTATGTTAAGACATTAATAAAATATCAACTCATACTCGTACATGCACGCTATATAAAATTACACAAACTTTGCTGCAGAGATATCACAGTTATACAGGGTGATTCTCCATCAAATTTTAGCCTGAGCCAATTATTTTTATTTTTCGATTTCATATTTTTATCCAGTTTAGGAAAATTATTATCGTTAAAGATCTTCGATGTTATTAAAACGTATACAATTGTTTAGTTTGCCTGGTTGACTTGAAATCAAAAGTAGGTAGCTGACATTGTTGTTTGTTAGCATATTTAGAAAAGCAGGTAACTTTATGTAATGCCGTTTTTTTTACCGCTCCCGAGTCTGCAGAGATTAATATTATGTGAATATAAACATTGTTAACGCGTACATGTATGCTATATACGAGAAATATCATAGCTGCAAAATGTTTAGATTCAGGGCGTTTCACGGAATCCACTTTCCGGTCAATTATTTTTATTTATCAATTTCATAATAATGAGTTTGAATGGTTAGAAAAATGATTATATTCTAATTCAGATCCGCTTGGTCATTAAAACGCATACAACTGTTTGGTGGGAACTGGATATAAATGTATTTATACGTACACCGAGTTCTTTGTTAGAGGTGGCCTATATTAATATTAATTCATTGATTTTATTCATAAATATTTCAAAATTATAACTATAGTGAAAAATCAATAATATTGCGTTTTCGTGAGGTTCGGAAATACATTGCGAGCTTGTAAACGTCGATGGACCGAAGTTATCTCCTTTCGGTGGGTTCGTCTCGGAGACGCGATGCGACGGTTCTCGGCGCGGTCGACTGGAATAAATACGGAAACGGGTTTGTCGCGGCGAAAACGATAGAAGAGTGCTGCTGTAAAAGCGTGCCTAGAATCGAGGAAAAAAGAAAATCCGTTGTACAGCATGTAGTAATAGTATGACAGTTTTTCTTTAAGACGTATTATACGACTAAACGCGTTCCGGACAAGCCGCCACATAACGTTATATTTAATTGCACGGCTGCTCGCCTCGTCGTCTTCATCCGTCACCGTTCGTTTTCCGACTACGAAGGGGCTACATTTTTTCAACATAAACGAATCTTCGAAACACTATAAAATAGGATAGCAACGTTTATCTATCGGCGACAACACTGAACACTTATTTTTTTTTAATACCCGGACGTTTGAAATATTGTATAAATATCGATAAAAAATCGGTAGCCTTTATAAGCTACGTTCTCCGCAGACGCTTCACAGTTTTTAATAGCCACATGATAAATACATGTCTTGTCGTATATTATCACCTTTCGACTCTTCAGAACTAATCTAATCTTGGAAATGTGATTAGAGATGTTTACTCGTATTTTGTACCATCCAACAAATTCACAACGAATCATACAAGAACAATTTATGAGAAAAAAACCAAATTTTTTTTCAACGATTACTCAGTGGTTTCTCAAGTAACATCAGTTGGAGTGTTTTTACGCACCATTCATGATGTGTCGGCTACAAAAAACTTTTGACAATATACCATGAGATTTTCTTGAAACCATGTTCTGAATACAAAATTATAAAATAATATATGAATTGTAGATGAAAAAATATTCACTATAAGAAATAGTAAAAATGAGGTATATTATCTTTTGCTCGAAGAGTAACAATTAATATGCGCTTAGACATCAATATAAAAATATTATGTTTTACTTTCGAAATCACTGCAGACCGAGAAAACGAACCCATTTGACGGATCACGGATGACAAATAAAATATGATTTGTTTCCCAAACAAATGTACGAGTATTACTATAACCAAGGTAATATTATTATGGTGGATACATTTATTATTGTTTAGCAATTTATTACGATTTATGACGAAGCAATGCATATTGTTGCATAAGCAGCTATAAGATCTATTTATTGGTCGAATGAGAGAACAAAATAAATGTTTACCCATCGACGCGGTTACTGCGTTGGTAAAATTTACTGTTCGGGTCATAAGTAATCGCAAAAATGTGTACAATCAAATTGGTTGACTCAAACTTTTTTAACTCGAAATCGTTGATACCTGTAACTTTTTCCTATTATTGCATTATCGTTTGGTAACTTCAACGTTTTGGTGGGTCCCTTCAACTTCGAGTTGATCAAGTCTGAATGTATAATATAGGTAGGTTAGACTAACCTAACGTAACCTATTCATAACGGGATGGAGCCGTATATTAATATTGTAAAAAAATTAATTTATGACGTATGCACTTTATAATAAGAGGTAAATAAATGACAATAATTAATAATTACAATAGTATTGTATATTGTTATTATAACATAATATATATATATATATATTATGGTTAGAAGGTCGTTTTTTTTTTTTTAAATCTCACAACGTCTAATGATGGACACACTTTAGTTGCATTTAGTTGTTTCCAAGTTTATAACGATTTATGATAAAGCTCTGCACATAGTTGCATAGATGCACCATGGCTAAATAGTAACATAATAGCTGCTAAAAAATAAATTCATCTCAAATGGAATGGGAGAACAGAATGTATTGAATTTACACAATATTTTTAATCATCGATGCTATTAATTATCGAGTTGATAAATTGTTCGGATCTTTATAGTAGTAACCGCGAGTCGTTTTGTAAATCACCTCCGTATATTACATATATTTATATATAGGTACCTAACCATAAAGGAATTGAGTCGCATATTAATTGTAAACAAAATTACTGCATGTATGTACTTTATTCGTATATTGCTATTATAGTGTAATATATATGGCGTAAATGGACATTTTTATAAAGGTCATAACGTCTAATGGGGATTTAATCGATTATAAAATTATTTATCTACGCAGCGTTATGGTTGATTTAACTTATTCAATTTTCCGGTGTGTAGATTTTTTTTTAGTGTAATTTTGAGCATTAAATTTTCTCAAGCGTTATTATCACCGTGGTGTTTACTGCTGGTATATACAGATTCTCATAAAATAAAACAAAAATAAATATGATACGTCATATAAATAATATTTTCAGGGGTGTACTTTTTTTAAAACTCATAAAGTTATTAATATTGAAATGGTTTGTTTTAATGTTTAATCGTTGACGTTAAAGTCAAAATTAAAAGAGCGATTTTGGCATACAAATGTAATAAATTAAAATGTATTCATTAATAAAAGGCTATACTTGGGAGTTTTCCCTTTGAAATATTTTTGTGATAGAATATAATTTTTTAATTATTTATTTATCTTATGTATAAACTTGAATATATTAATCGAGTTGCGAAAAAAAGTACGCTTTTATAGCCTAGAATGGTAAAAATCGATAAGAAAAAAAAATGGAGTTACAAATTCAAATTTATAAATATTTAAGACAGAGCTTTTTACGATTTTAAATCAAGGTATAATAATATGAGTTGTAGGTAAGAGGTGTATACTCAGACACCATCATATTATTATAATATTATACATTGTGTAAAAATCGTGCCACGAAAGTTTTTAGACATTTTAAAACCATAATGATTAGAGATAAAAGCGAATCGATCTAACTATGCATAATGTTTAATAAACACGTAAACGCGATTTGAGGAAAAAAAAGTCCTATAAATACCAGCTGTTCGCAATACACATATAATACATTATAATATTATATTATGTACCTATAGAACAATGACGTAGACTAAACGTGCCTGTTTCAAAATGATTTTTTTTTTACTAAAGTTTAGACGGCGGTGGTTCACATCGGGTTTGGGAGGTAAGTCTAAAAAAACTGGTGTGCTGCGATAGTAAATAAACGGTATCGTTTGTGTTTTTTAGCTATCACGCATAACGTAATCAATGTCGTTCTTTATCGTCGTATTAATTTTACTGTCGACAACTAAACGAAAACGTATTACGATGATAGTATTATTACTATAACTATTTTCGTATATACATCGCGTGAAGTATGTACACATGACGTTATAATAATAATAATAATAATATTCGTTACACACTTTTCGAATCCCATCCGACACGGTGCGCGTATAGTATTATAATATTAATATATGTATTACGCAGTATCGTTAATTTATCGGTTTCGAACCGTCACGAATGGTTAATTTTTTACCCTCCCCACCGACCGTGTTTCACCCAACCTTTACGTGTATACATCATTATACATTGTGTAAAATGTCCCGAGCGTAACGTAATCTGTATACGCTCGCAAACAAGCGTCGATAATAATTATAATAACATCACCATTGTCCGGTGTGTAATTCGGTGCGGGCACGCGCATCGCGGAAAATGTGTTGAAAATAAATGTAGAGGGAAAAAATTACGGGCAAGTTTGACTGGCGTACAATTTACGCCGTCGCTGCAGTGTTCCATAATAATATGTCGATAAAGTTTTAATAACTAATATAACATTTGTGTGTGCAAGCGAGTCGTATTGTACACAAAATCACGAGATTATCATATTATTGTTATTATCATAATGTTGCGATTATTTTCTCTTAATATCTCTATCTCTCTCTCTTTTTTTCCCTCTCACCCTCTCTCTTGTTCGAGGTTTCTTTCGCCTGCACCTGTTGTATAATATGTTTTGCTTTAAACATTTTCACTATACTCGGTCGAGTGTCCCGAGATTACCTAAAACGATTTTTCCGTTTTCAAATATTGCCATATGATATAATGCAAAAATTGTCAGTTATGAAATATCACAGACTATCCGGGCGACTGTGTCCAGGATCGGTATTAGACTTCACGGGAATACGCTCCCGGTGTGTAGAGAAATCTATACTCGGTACCTATGATATCGTATAGCATTTCAAACACGAACACGGAAGTCTGCCCCTTCAACCTCCCCCCTGCCCGAAGTGCACTCGCTATTGGCAGTGTTTGACGACCGCCCACAATTATTTATAACAACATTACACTTTGTGCAGCGTAATACATCTGTATGGGTAAACTGAAGCCGGTGAGATTACCACTTTTCGATTTTCGTTCGTTTTTGTGTGGTGTAGGTATGACATAGTGTTTCCGCCCGGGCATGTTTATCCGGCAATACGACGCGTACGAAAAATAAAACATTTAATTTTTTTTTATGTACAACAAACGACCGGACATTATATAATTACTATTAAACTATTTACGGGGACCCGATAACAAAACGAGTACTCGACGAACATGGGGGTGTGCATATTATCGTACGAGAACTTGGGGATGGTTATATATTATATATATATATATACTATGTACAGACCAACAATTCGTAAAAAATAAACGAAACAAAAACACGAGTTTTCCACTGCTAAGGTTGACAACGATGTCGTTTTCGAGGGAAACAGACCCCAGCTTGTCGCACGCGTGAGCAACATTTATTGTATAATAATATAACAATAATAATATAATTATCATTATAATTATATCCATGTGCCGAACGTGCGATTGACGACGATGGAGTGTGGGTATATAGACAAATTCTGTACAACGTATGTAATAATATTTACACATTAATTTCTAGAAAAAAAAGAGAAAATAACACGAGCATGTCTCTTACGACATATAACGGTCGGTTACCGAAGTCATAATATTGAATATTGTTAAAATAATATCTTAATTGAATAAATCCGATGTTATAACTATGTGATTCAATATCGCATAATATATCGTAGTATACTCTTGGTTACTCAAAACTAGAGTATACACATCATTTCAGGCCCTTTATTTTTTTTCTCGCACTCGCGTTGTTTCCATTTTTGTATTTTTTTGTAATTTTTTTTTTTAAGTTTCTTATCATTATGGCGTGTAATTAAATGTAAATTGTATATTATAATAATATAATATATATTATAAAAGTATAATGGTAGCTGGAGAGGAGCGAAAACGGGCGGCTGGCGGCGGGAGCGCATCTATTATCTCAGCTGATCGTCAGTCCTGGTGAACGTCCAGCTCAGGATCATCACGCACAATATCGTGATGGAACTGTTGGATAAGCCAGCCGAACCTGTCTGCATGGCCGCAGGACTCTCACCTGTAAGAGAAAATGAAAAGAAAAAAATTTTCATCCGTTGAATTAATATGATAACTAATTAACAATGATATATAATAATGTTATTTAATTGAAAAACGATTTTAAATGCTTCATAATATTATTATTATTATTATTATTATGTAGAGTTCAGACGTTGTAGCTTTATAACAATATTGTGCAGAGCAATTAAAATAAGATAGCAGAAAATATTAAAAACCCTAAAAAATTCATTGAAAAAGTTTTTGAAAAATGTAACAAGTAAACAAATTTATTGTTAGCTTAATTTATAGTTTGAAATTATTTATGTAAAAAAATAAAAAATGAGGGTATATACAAAAGTTAATTAAAAAAAAATGTATGTAGTATTTATAATATTTTGAATATTTTGATCTAGAACATACTGATGTGAAATCAATTTTTTAAAAAATACATTACTTACTGTTGAGACAGATATTGTAATATAAAAATGAATATTACCTTTAAAACAAAAAGTACTACATATTTTATTGGTGATATTATTGAGGTATTCAAAAAGCTTGGGATTAAAAAAGTAGCTAAAACTCAAAATTCAATTTCGTGAATTTATATTAATGTATAACAATAATATTTTATACTTGAAAACGGTTATACATAATTTATTAAACTAAAATTATTAGAAAAAAAATACCCTCAAAATCCAAACTCCATGGTCATATTATAAGATATATTAATATTCAGAGTCAACATCAATGCGAAAAACGTCTAGGCTGACATAGGGGATGATGTTTAGCGAACGATTTTACTATTATACCGATTATACCATACAACGCAAGTACCTAACTTATATAAATAATATCTTTGACGTGTCTGGAAAAATCTAAATGGAGGGTAACAAAAAAATGGTTGGTATGTACCTATATAATTTGTATGAGTCAACTGCAATATTATTAAAGTTAAACCAAAACTTAAATCTAAATCCATAAGTACTTAACAACACTATGTCACAATAATTGTCTATTATAGCATGACGATGAAACAATAATTGCACAAATAATAGATGTCAAGAAAGTTGGAAACGTACAGCTAATTTATCGTTACCTATTTGAAATCACTCGTGCTAATGCGAATATGTCTTAGTAATAATGACACAAAATTTTATGGAAACAAAACTGAAGGAAAACAACCAACTTAAATACAATAATTCTATCCTTGACATAAAAAGGTCACGTTTGTTCGATTAAAATTAATGGAATTGTTTATTAAAACTGCAAGTTGACATAGTCATAAGAAGTATAATTCAGCACGAATTTAAGTTTAATATAGTTTCGCGGGTATAACGTAACAATATTAAAATATTAAAACACACTTTCTGTAGTTGTTCAGTTACAACACTATGTACGTCGGTTCTTGCAGTAGACTTTAAATTTTACTAATTAAAACCACCGATTAAATTATTTTTTGTGATCGAGATCCAAGGTGGAAAATGCTGGTTATTCGGTCATCTCGTTAAAAACCACACATTTTGTCTAGCTTGTAAATTAAAATCGCACATATTATTATTTACTATCCTAACCGCGTCTTACACTTACCGTTTAAGACGTGTACGACCACGCTGGATAAGTCCGCGTTTGACGGGTTGCAAGTGTACTTGCCAGAATCCGCTTGCACCGCATCTTGTATGAGCAGGTAACTGACCGTCACGTCTCCCTTTTCTGTGACCACGCTCACACCACCGCGAACCGAATCGTAGCTGATCACCTGAAACATACAAATAATCAAATATTATAGATCAAATAAGGGTCAAGTGTTCGAATGGTGTATCTGAAGTTAAATGTTATTCAAGGTGGTTTGCACGTAAACATTTTCATATAGTAAACTCACGTTATCTATGTCAAAACTCAGAAAGGAACAGAAAATAGTTCGAGATAGGTACCTAGTTCTTTTGTAATTGTTTTGATAATTGCAAGGGGATTTCAATTGTGTTCGAGATACGAAAAATTCGAGATATTGAAATTCGGGAGCATACTACTTGCGTCCGAAATTATTATCAGTAGGTGAGTTGCGTCCCGCAAAAAAAAGATCATAGCATATTTGCGTCCCGGTATACCTTTTGCTATGACCTAATTGCGTCCCGAAAATATCGATATAAATATGTACATTGATGATACAAATTTAATTTATAATGATAACAATGTAAAAATTCATTTTATACATTTCGTCATAATAAATATACCTAGTATAATAGTATAATAAAAAAAAATAAAAAAAATGCATGTTAAACATTTTGTCATAATAAATCATTACCGAATCATACTGAATTTACAATTTATGAACTATCGGTTTTAGTGACACGATACTGTCGATACTATTGATTTTAATGATTTTTGAAGATAATATCGATAATAATAATATGGCTGACTTGCGTCCCCCAAAACGGGACGCAACTTACCGGTCAAATTTACCACCTGAAAAATATATTTTTTTTTGGGACGCAAGTAACATGCAGCCTGAAATTCGTCATAATAAGAATCAACTGTTTATTATGATATCATATCTGTAGCAGAGCTGAGAATTTAATGCATCAACCCCCCCCCCCCACAAAAAAAAATCCTCGAAACCTAGCAATTCAATAAATTAGGCAACATAGTTTTTGAAACAGCTTGTATAATGTTATATAAATGGGTATAATTGAAAAACATAGACTTAACTAAAATAACTAAATATTAAACTATAACTCAATAACGTCATGTTCGTTTTCAATCTTACCGAAATAAGCTAACTGCACATTAAAATATTTAAAAAGCCATAAAGTAGGTACCGCTTTGATTAACAGTACAGGTGTCGACTATTCCTCGTCATTGAGTGTGCACTGTAGTGGAGGATTTGTTAAATGTGAATTCGTTGATTTGATCAAAAAAACAATTTTAAGCGAAGATGGTCTAGCTTTTTGGTGATTATCTATGGTTACCGAGTAATTATTTTAATAAGTAAATCACAATTTTAACAAATATTCGTATTTTTTCTTTCTCAATTATTTTAGAAAACATTGAGGATTTTCAATTTCGACTTTTTAAAAGTACCAGGATCTACTACATCCAATTTCCTAAAAGAAATTTCCTTTGAAGTTGATGATCAGCGCAGACAAAAAAATAAAAATTGTTTGTCATTGTAAAATCAACCCAAACCATATTTAATTTATTCTCCATTATATCGCACGTAAAACAAATGTTTATCAAATTGAATACTTTCAGTACAAAGTTTACCAAAACAAAAAAAAAAAAAAAATTACAAACGAGAATTAAATTCACTTCAGCTCTGCGGGATTATTAAAATATTCTGGTAGTATATCGTGGGCGAGTTTGGTTGTTTTATCACCGGAGTATCCTACGGTCACACTTTCGAAACTTCCAACACTTGTACCGTTTTGCATCGATCCCTCGAAAATCAGTCACTCTGGAAAACCACCACCGAATATAATATCATAATAAACTAGGAATATTCGGTTGCCCGCAAGACGCGATGATGAGTTAAATGTTTGATTTCGAATTTTGCAGCTCAGCTGTTCGGAAATTCGGAGAAAAATTACCTGGTGACTATAAATAGACATCATAAAAAATATCATCCCCGAGTTGATACATATACCGTATTTGAGATGTTATATTTATTTAACAGACTAGTACGATTTTAATATTTTACATGAAACACGTTAAACAAAATATTTTACAGCAGATCTTTCGCTTCAGCATAGTTATTAATATTGCCGGCCTATGTTTTCAATTGTTTTTTTTTTATTGTATGAAAATTCTCAGTAAAAGTAAATGGATTGTCCATATACAAAATAGTTATGTTTTATTGTGGTATGTATTATTTTCCAAAAGATAATAGTAAAATTAAACAAAATTCGTATGTGATCTAGGGCAGGAGATGAGCTGAAGCAGAACAAATATAAAATATATTTAATTAAACATCGATATTTGTCACAATGTTTAATAACAATATTATTGTATTTTTGAGTTAAAATTATGACAAATATTTTTGTAGATATAGAAAATTTACCATAGACGAAAAAATTAAATATATTATGCAAAAATAATAAATATGAATTGTACCAGCAAATGGCCATCGCTTCCCAGGTTTTTTTTCTAATACAAAAAAAAGGATTTTTGTACATAATATCATTTATTTTTTGTGTTAGTAGCCACTAGCCACACTACTTAACTGCATACATTGAATCCATTCTGTGGCCATCTAACTCATGGATTCTGTTGCTTTATTCATTTTACTGAACAAACAATTTTTATTGTAATGGACAGCATATTTATCGCAATTGCGTAGCCGACAACTCGACGACAGTGACTGCACAGCATGATCACATTATGTATTACGAATGATTAGATACCTACAGGTGTATTAATAACAATATAAGGTACGTGGTAACAGATTCGTTGAAGATTAAAGGCCTAAAAAGTGAAGGTAGTCTTATCGACTTTTGAGGGACTATACAACTGTGTACCCGGTTAATTTATTGTATCTTAGCCACTCAAGTGTTGCAGATAAAGAAGTCGAATATTACCGAAAGGAACTTTATAGAAATATCATAAATAATACATATTCTATGCCTTTACACAGAGATTTCAGTACTCTTAACACACAGTTAGAACAAAAACCTATCACATTACACAGATATTGAATTTAAAATGGCACAATAATATGATAGCACACGGTGGTGGATCTAGGGGAAGCTGGCAGAGGGTGCTCCTTGATATTATTTATATTAACTCTAAAAATAAAATATTAAACTTAAACCATTTTCAAGCAATGACACGCGGTACAGTTGGCACGCCGTAAAACATATTTGGAAAAATGCTTTTAATTTTAATATGAATAAAATTGTATCTTAAATTGAAAGTTTGTCAAAAGACCAATAAACCTACCCTTGGAGAATTTCTGGATCTGCTCCTGATAGCCGAAAATCAAACTTAATAAGTAGTTCCTAGGTAATAATCATAATAGACAGTTATTAAAAAGATGTTCTCAAATTATTAAATACCTAGTTGTTGAAACATAATAATGTTATAAAAATTTATTTGAGTACCTAGTTTAAACAGTGTTCTCAAAAAACCCAAATAATACTCAAAAACCTGCAATGTACAATAATATATCAAAGAAAACGATTTAATAACTTTAATAACTACGATTTTGGTATTAATAATTATTATGATATTTCAAAGGAACTTATAGACGTCATGTCGTTTGAATAACGCGTATAGGTACGCTAAGGCACAGTCGTGCTCAAAACAATACGACAAACACGTAAGTATGATTTCCCTTGTATAAGTTATAGTTAATGTTTTGGTTTATTATAGGTCCTAAAATAATATATATTATTTAGTCATAGTGTCGATTGTCCTAACACAAAGAATACCAAACAGAATATGTTATATACCGTCGTTAAATCATAAACTGTTATATTTATATAATATATAACAACGTCGTTTTGACGCCTCGAAATAGAACAGTAAATAATTTAGTTTTAGCATTAATTTTTAGTAAAAATCACTGCCTATACTGGTTCTAATTCCAAAATTAAATCACAACTCCTGTGATTTTAATTTTGAAAAAATATTCAACCTCTCCGTAACGTCGTGCAGCGGAAATGGAAGAGCCCTTTAAATGAATATTAATGTGGCTTAAAAATATAACAGAAACGAAGTATTTTTTATTTTTGAGAGAAACAAGAAGTATATCGGTTTTAGAAGTTTTACAGTGATTTTTTTTCTCAATTTTTTGCAGGAACAATTTTTGTCTTCATAAAATACTTTAAGTACTACATTTATAAAATGGTCTGTATTATTCCTAGTATGAGTAAAGCATAATAATTTAAACGTTTCGACTACCAGGTAAAATATGAACTTACATGTATATTTTATATTAAATCGTTTTTTTTTTTTTTAATTTAAGGCTGTTGATAGTTTTTGAATGGCCGATTTATAGGAATATAATATCCGTAATAAAGATAAGATCACACGAACAGAAGATATCATATCATATTATATAATATGCATGGTGATTTTGTTTGACGTAAGACGATCATTATTTTGAAAACTAAACTCAAAATTAATATTTTAAAATATTTATTTTCCCAATTTAAAATAAATAAAAAATAAATACATTTTTTCTATCAATATAATTGTTGTAAGTTATTTAGTTTTTTGAATAAAGCTTTTTACGTTTTAATTTTATATTTCAAAAATAATATATTATTTGGAGCACTTCATAATATATTTAATTTCAATCCAGAAGTTAATTTAATATTAAAATATGGGCAATTTCTAATTGAAACATAAAAATAGGCTAATCTATATACATAAAAATGGAGCCAAAAATGTATAACAATTCATCAATTGAGAACGGCTGGACCGATTTGGCTCAATTTTTTTTAATTGTTCGTAATTACCAGGATAATTTTTTTGATGATTTATGTTTTGAGTTCCGGAATGTTTTTTCGAATTGAAAAAGCTACAGCAAGCTTTAGCTTATAAAAAATTGTTCTGAGTTGCGCTTACAGCCGCTCATCGGCGCATCCGCAATCAAAATAAATATGAAACATATTATTTCAATAAAACACAGCAGGTAAGCATAATATATTGCTCAAGTCATCACCATCGAGTCTCATATAGAGTTGGCATTTTTAACGGGCAACAAAATGCTCGAGATCAGCTAGTCGATCCTAATTATTTTCAAATAGGACTATTAGA